TTGAGAGAGGTGAAAGATGATGAACAGCCGGCGATGGAGGTGACGGGAAGGTTAAAGGATGGTCGAAAGTGAACGGCCAGCCGAGAGAGACAAAAAAGACTGCCAGAGGTCATGGAGATGACCAGTAGAATTAGGGTTAGGGTTTGGGATTGTGACAACCGCCTCCTTAATTGAGTAAATTAATTAAGTTAATTATGTGATTAATGTTGATCATGTGATTATGTGTTAATTGTGAATTATGTACCATGTATTATATGCATCGTATTGATTTGTGCCATGTGTTATTGTGAACAGATACGTAGAGGTGTGAATTAAACATGTCTGATTCGTTACCTTTAACAAGTTAGAATTAAATAATAGGATAGGAATTAGAGCCTAATTCACATGAATTTATTTTAATTTAGTGTAATTGAGATTATATTGTGATAAGGATTAATTTAATTTAATTAGCAATGATTTATTAGCCTTAGTTAAATTAATTTAAATATTAATAGAAACTTATAATCCTACTCATCTATTCATCCATTTAAATGGTATAAGGGAAGATAGTGGGTCTTGTTGAGTCATACATTACACATACACGTAGGGAGAGAGAGAGAGAGAGAGAGAGAGAGAGAGAGAGAGAGAATTCAACAAGAAAGAAATGGAGAGGAGAAGAACTTAGGAAGAAGGTAGAGGGTTGTCTTGAATTCTCACAAATCAACAAGCAAGGTAAGCATTTTCTCTCTACTTTCTTGAAATTGATACTTGCACATTCATCATCTTCTAAGATTTAAGATTAAATTAGGATGAATTGATGATCACTTAGAGGTTTTGCTCATATTACTAAGAGTTAAGACATGCAAGTATATATAGAGAAGTAAATAACGAATTAACTATTAATTCCACCATGCATGGAAATTTTTTTGAACTTCATGATCATACATTGAGCTTCTTGAATGAGTTTTGAAAATTGAGGAGGTAAACTCCATGAAAATCCAAGATTGGAGCTAATGCTTGCCTAGATAATGATTTTATTTTAATTCTAAAAGTTTGAACTTTTTGCATGGATATGAGCCTCAAATTGAGGTTATGAATTTGGTTTAAAGCTTAATATGTTAAATGTAATGTGTTCTTGAATGTTTTTGAGGCTTGAATTGCTTGGAAATGAAGTTTGAGGTTGCCAAATGTAGCTCCAAAACTCAAGCAGATTTCAGACAGCAAAGTGAACACAGACCGCATGTGGGGCCTGGAGACCCGCACGTGCGGAAGAGCCTTCTCTGTTTTCGCACAGCTACAAAAATAATCACACTTGCAGGGCGAACGTGAAGTGGAGGTCTCGCACGTGTGGCCAGAGCCCCCGCACATATGGCCCTTTGGATAGACCCGGATTTGTTTTTCGCTCTATTTTCCACCTCCCGGGCCTCCGTTGGCATGGTTTTAAAGTGTTTTTCATGTGCATTTGCATCTCATGAGTGCATTAGAATGAACAAATGAAACATTAGAACCGATTGATTAATGATGCATGGTAATTGACTAAGTAAACAACCGAATCAAATAGAATTGGTGAAATATACGAATGTAATTGAATCGTTATGCTTAAATTTGTTTGGTTAGGTCGAACGCTGCTTCTTTAGTGCCTTATAGCACGTGTTTCAAGGAGCCCACTGTGAGTAACAATGTTATAAAGCTATGTTCAATCATAATTATTTTCTGAATGATTAACTGTATTGCTTTCTGAAATGATATTGTTTACTGAATGAATGTCTGTTCTATTTTATGACCTGTACTTGTGGCATCCATAGCAACTGACTGTTACTGATACTGCTATTATTACAGAGATCTTTGTTAGTTCCAATCTTTTGAACTACTGTTACTATATTGATGGCCATCAACTAACTATTCTGTCTTTAAGACGACCTACTGCACTGTTCTGCTATGGGATGCATCATGCATGACTGCAATGATTACTATATAACAAATATGACATGAAATATGAGAAATTGATTGAATAAATGATCTACTGGTGCAAATGACTATTTAAATACTAGAAGGACATTTATTCTTAACCGTTTTACATATTTGTTATTCACTGGGTTTTAGCTCACAGTTTATTGTATATATGTAGGTGGCTAGGCACCGGAGCAAAGTTAGTGGCGTCGACCAGAATCTGTTTTGTCAAGCCAACCTATTGTGCCTCACCGTGAGGTTCCGAACCATTTTTGTCAAGGCTTTTTGGGGTGATCTAATTATACCCTTTTTGAATGTTATATGAAGTCAAGTGAATGTTTTCTAATTTGTTTTGGCTTGAGATTTATTTTTCTAACATGTCTTTTATTTTGTACTTAGATGTGTTTTGGACTTAAGTGTTGATGTATATATTTGGACTTGGATTTGGATTTATGTGTGTATCAGTAAATATATATATAAGTTGTTTGTTCATTTAAATCCTCATAACTCTTTGGACATTATGTTTTAATATTTACAGGCTTCCGCCAGCCCTTCTTATTGTATAATTGTTATTATTGTTAAGTAGACCTTTGGTAATCATAGATTACTGGCCGATTACAATGCTAAACCTTTAGGGACGGGTTTGGATCGTGACAGGGACATTAGGGTTAGAAGGTTAGAGATAAAGGTAGAAATGAAATTTAATATTTGGACAAAACTAGAATTAAAAAAATAAAAGAGTGGTGGGGTCTAAAGAAATAAGGTAAGTGTAAATAGCAATCCTCTTTTTTTAAGGGAGTAAATTACAAATACACCCCTTGGGGTCACATAAAATACAAATTGCTTCATATGGTTTGAAAATTTTCAAATACCCCTTTGTAAGAATTTTTTTATTTAAGAGAATTAATTGAAAAAATAAAATTTTTAACCGTTCTCGTATGCAATAATAAAGTTAGGTAAATTATTAATTGAAATGACATCATTAAAAATTATTAATTGACTTGAAAATTTATTGATAAAGAAGATCATTTGTTATGAAATTATAAATTTCAAGAGGCGGGATTTAATTTTGAGAACTACAAGTTGCAACTTACATTTTAAACAAATCTCAGGGAGTGTATTTGTAATTTACCCCTATAATTTTTTTTATAATTTTAATTATTAATATTTATAATAATTTTCACTTGTTTATAAATATTTTATACTGACGTGTCAATGTAATTTCCTATTTTTTTGAAAGTAAAATTTTAGAGTCATTTTTAGTATGATTAATATTTATTTTTATAAAACAATAATTATTAATGATATTGTATCTTTAATTTTTGTAAAATATAATTCTAGTCATATAAAAAATCATTCTAAGATTATTCTAGAAAAATCACTTAAAAAAATCCGGATTCATGGAGTGTTTTGGGAAGATGATTAAAAGTTATTTTTTTGACTTTTTTGACTTTTTTGTAAGAGAGGGAAATGGGTTAAAAGTTGAGAAATGACTTTTAACCCACTTCCCAAAATAGCCATATGCAGTTGCGTCTTATTCAATTTAAACATAACTATGGAGTGACAGTGTGGTTAGAGCCAATAACCTATTATGACTCTACTTTGATAATCTAATTAACTTGATTTAATTATATTTATTAAAAAAATAAAAAATAAAAAATAAAAAAATAAGATTATAACTTGTAATTATTAAATCAATTATATTTTTTAGATGATCTAGACATTGATATTTAATAAATCATCACAATTAGATTTGTGATGGGTTCGAATGTTCGAGTTGAACCAGTCCAATTCAATCTAGTATAGTCATATTTATTTGGACAGACATAATTTTAGAATTGAATTAATAATCGAATAAAATACAGACTTTTATATTTGAGTAAAAAAATTGTAATATGAACTAATAGTTTTTAGCCTTATTGTGGACTATTGAATCTCTGAATATAGGTAAAATACAAAATTAGTGGCTACCAGCATCTTCAATCATTCATTAAAAATTTTATCTAATTCAATTTTAAATTTGAATAAAATGTTTGATTTGAAAAATTGCTCTAACCCTTCTATCAAAATATTTAATTTTTTTTCTTCTTATCTCAAATATATTTTTCATTATATTTGATAAAAAAAAAATATCATTTCCAATGCTTAATTTTTTCAAATTTTCTTCAAATTCTAAATTAATAAAAAATATTGGTTCCTTAATTTGATGAATGGATTGAATATGATTTTTTAAAACTTTTTTATAAAAAGAAAAGAGGTTAAAATTAGAGATGCTCTAATAAAGTTTAAAGTAATTGTTTAAAAGGTAAATTACACCGTTGCTACTTAGTTGAGTGAAATTTTATTTTGGCTTTATAATTTTAATTTGAATAATTTGATCATTGTACTTTTAATTTTAGTTTAATGTGATCCTTTCGTTATGCATGGTTAATATTTAAAAAAAATTCATATACAAAAGTAAAGAGATCAAAATCAAATTTGAAACAAACTAGATGGATCATTTCCTCTAATTTATTTTGAATTCCATTTGATCTCTATAATTTTAAATATTGATTTTTTTCATTTCAACTCTTTAACTGTAAGCAACGAGGGGATTATATTATAATAAAATTAAAATTGTGAGGACAAAAGTTTTCAAATTAAAAAAGTGATAAATTCCTTAAAGAGAGGATTCTTTCCCGTTGAGAAACTCAATAGGATGGTTTTGTTGGGTCCACGTGGACTTATCATGAAATCTACATTTGAATTGTCAGATATAGGTGTCGTTTGGTAATACTTACGTTTTTAATTTTTTGTTTATATTTATAAAAATTTTAAAAATTCGAATAAAAATTTGTTTGGTAAAATTTTTGATTTATAAATCAGTGGTCTCAGTTTATAAATTTGGCCCAAAAATGAAAACACAAAAAATGTGTTTCCGTTTTGAGTTTTGAGTTTTTTATTTTTTATTTTTTTACCATACAAATTGTGTATTTTATCTCTATAAAAAATTATATTTATTATATGTTGATATAAAATAAATTATGAATATCCTATCAATATAAATTTTTTATACAAATAAATTACTCTACCCAATAAACAATTACCGATGCCCAGTGACACCCTTCAGTCGGATTTGTGCTGGTGGAGAGAACCCTAGGCCTTGCTAAAATTGTTACAAACCATGGACACACATCAGCAACAGAGAGCGGCGAGCCCACCACCTCCTCCTCCTCCTCCTCCTCATCCTCATCCTCCTCCTCCACAGCAAGGCGGCGGCGGAGGAGGAGGGGGTTTCTCCGCCATTTTCACAGTGTTCTTGTCCTTCATCATCATATCCTGTTTGGTATTTTCTTATCACCATTTCGATCCTTATATATATATATATATATATCTTGCACACACAGGCACATAAATATAATTCTATATGTTATCTTATCCCCAATATTACTCTAAAATTTAATTCAATAATGGCTTGTTCTTCCTACACGCATTCTAGGGTTTAAAGTATTGTGCTTCCAATATGTTTACTCTATTTTACATGACTCTCTTCAAAATTAATCAAATATCCGTGTTAGACAGTTGACACTCAACACTAGGACAAGGGTATTTCTAGGGTTTAAAGTATTGTTGCATCGGATATTTCTTATATATTTGTATTTAATACCATCTTATATGTATCTATTGTTATATAATTGCTATAAAAACATCTTTTTGACACTGTATGTTAGATATACATCATCACATAAGATCATCTCCAACTCTTGATCAATTTTTCATCTAATTTGATGTGAACTGCTCCAATGTTTTCATCAAAACCTTTTTTAAAATTCTCTTCTTATCCCAAATTTCCTTTTTCATTAAATTTGACAAAAAAAGAAAAAATCATCTCCAATGCTTCATCTTCTTAATTTTTTCTCAATTTGATGAAAAAATGACTCTTCCTTGATTTCATGAACCTTTGATGAAAGGATTGGAGATGATTTTTGAGTACTTGTTCATCAAAATTAAATTTGATGAAAGAAAAAGTAAAGGATTTGGAGATTCTCTAATAGATTAAAAATAAAAAATGACTTTTTTTTGTTGTGTATCATTAAATTTGAGACTTGATGGGTCTGACCACTAGATACACACTTGTACCGTACCGGACACCTATATCCGAGTCCATGTAACATAGTTATACTAGAGGGTTGTCATGGGCATTCACATGATGGATACTCTATGGATTAGAGAGATGGTATGAAGAAGTTTTGGGAGAGAAAGGTAGAGATTTAGTTTAAATTTAATTAATTGTGGCAAGTTGCTAGAAGTTATTCCAAAGAATTAAGTGGAATAATTTTTTGTGAATAAAATTTCTTTCTTCTATCCTCGTAACTTTCAACTCCTCACTAATCACTTAAATCAATTTCTAATTTATATATGCAATAAAATAGGAGTTTTAATTTATCTGGAAAAAAGTTTAGGGGATTGCAAAATCCTTAGAAAACCCCTTTATAGAAGCAATTATCCAAATTGTTTATTTCAAATCAATGTTTTTTGTGGGAAACACTGAAATTTGACAAGCTTCAAAATAAGGGAATAACAAAGTTTAATGATTGTCTTATGAAAGCAGTGGTGGCGTTTTGTTAGTTTTAGGAGTTAGCACTAGCACATGTTAATTTTATAACTACCTAAGTTGCACCTTAGACAGAACACATTGCACAAAACCCTAGAACCTTGGAAGCTTGACGTGATATGAAAGAGTTTTGTCACACCAAGATTGTTTTGGACAAGGCTAGGACTGGGAATGCTTTGAAGAGGTACTGTCCATTTGGTCATCTTGGTCGACCAACTTTGGTGGTAGGTAGTCTTGTAACTGGTAATCACCCACATAGGTTGATCGACCAAATAGGGTCTAGTTTTGGACTATATATCAAACCCACCTGTGGGCTTACCAAAATTCACTAGTGGGCCCACCCAAATGGAAATCTAGAGAATCAAAGTTTAGTAGAGACACATGGCGCCTCAAAGATGAAGTTTCGAAATTTAAGTCCCTTATGTGAGCTGACCAGAACTATGGTGTGGGTTATAGTCCATGGTAAGGCAGTTTGAGAAAACTAGTTGTTAGAGGAAAGTCATTGGGACTTTGTAGCTTAGTTGCAGGAATCGTGCAACCAGGTGACGAATCTTCGTAAGAAACGCAATTTCGCGTTTCTTAGAAAGAAACGTGTAAGAATTGCGTTTCTGTAGAGAGAGAAACGCGATCCTGTCCAAGATGGGATCATTGGTGGAAATAAAACAACTCAGAAACCCAGACAGAGAGAAGCCTTAACCCATTGAAGACAGAGAAAGAGAAAGGGAAAGGGAAAGGGGAAAAACCTGTTGAAGCCCTAATCGAGACTAGATCAAGGTATGCTCTTCCAATCTATGTGTGTTCGACTATCTCTCTCCCTCTGTTCATCGTCGAAGTCGAACCTGTTTATCTTCTTCGACTCTCTCTCTCCCTCCATTCGATGCTCTTCGTCGTTGTCTCCTTCGTCCTTCGTATCTCTCTCTCCCTTTCTCTTTGTGTCCATCTTCGTCTTTGTGTCTTCTTTTTCTCTCTGTTCGTCTCTCTTGTTCCTCCCCTCGATTCGACTCCTCCTCACTCTTCCCTCTTCGTTGCTGTCTCTCTCTCCCTCTTTTATTCTTTATTTTATTTTTTTTACCTTTTTTTGTTTAGTAATAAAAAAATCATTTTTTACATCTTTTATTTATTTATTTTTATATTTTTAATATTCTCAATATCCTAAACATTAACATATAGAATAAAAAAATTATAAAATAAAATATTATATAATAAAAAAATTATAAAATAAAATATCTAATTTTTCTTTTTGTTTATTTTAACATAATTTATTATTCCTTATTTATTATAATTTTTTATTTATAATATATATCAATTAAAAATAAAAAAATTAATTAACAATAATACATTATTTAAAAAATATAATAAATAAATAAAATAATTAATGTACATTAAAATAAAAATATTTATAAAAAAATTAAAATATATATATATATATATATATTACCGCTCCCCGAGATGTTCCCAACTTAAGAAACTTCTATTGGCTCACGCTTCCTCGCTCCCGTCCCCGCTCCCGCTTCGTGCAACTAAGCTTTGTGGCTTCCATGATGCAACCCCCCTGAGGTTTGAATCATCAGATGCAACAATAGGCCTATACCACTATTCGGTCAATTTAAGGAGAACTTGTCACCTATCTATATGTGGCTTGGGCTCCAATACTCCGGAAATTTATAAAAGGGTATCCATACATGTAGTGAAACACACAACACAAGCATAACTTAACACAACAAGTACAACTCAACCGTCTAAGGTCTCTCACTACCACCCTCTCTATCTCTAAGGTTGCCTTTGGTTTTCTTCTCCTCCGGTGATCTTGGTCATTGAAGTGCTCACCATCTTCCCAGAAGTTAACAATTGACCACCTCTCATACCTAACAACTACAGCTATTTACTCTCTGGAACTTATCAACTCCTACTAAATTGAATTTACCTTGATAATATTCATGCAACTTAATTTTTTTTTTTTTTTGAGCCTTTGTGAAATGTCAACAAATCAGAATTGATACTAGAAATTTTAGATGAATATTTTGCTTGACTCTTCAAGCATGCCTGAATTCACCAAACTCGAGTAGTTTTCCATGTGATTCCCTGTTAACAACTGTTCTATTCAATAATTTGATTGTAATGATAATTGCATTGCATACTCGTGATGTGCAAGTTCTAGGATGAACATGTTAATTGTGCTTCAATGCGAATTTCATTTGGTTTTCAATGTATTGTTCCTTGGGTTTTGATATATGTTTTTTTGTTGAATTCACATGTTGTATATGACCTTGTGGCTTCTCTCCATCTATTTGTTTGTTTATTTTATCTCTGAAGTGAAAGAATCTGAGCATTACATGGCCTATTAGATTATTTTCTATTTTTCCTATAAATCAAAATAACATGAGCATTATTAGAACTAGAAGATTGCACGTAAAACTGTACCCTGAAAATCCAACTACAGCTTCAAATTTTTATAGGACAAAAATATCAAGTAAAAGTTGTAAGATGGTGCTTTGTTAATATGGTTAATTTTTTTATATGCTTATTTTTTGATAGCTACTTTGATTTTTAGATACTCTTATACTAGAAATATAATATGTGTCACTAATCATTCAACTTGAGAGGAGTTCATGACTTGCCATGGTAAAATTTATAGGCTCTGGTTCCGTCATCGTCAGCATTAAAAAATAGCTTATCTGTTATACACCAAGTTCCAGAAGGCCATGTTGGGGTTTACTGGAGAGGAGGTGCCCTTCTGAAAACAATTACAGATCCAGGTTTGGTCCTTATTAATATTATATTATATTAGCATTTGAAAATTGAATTTTAGAGTTGTTTGAATGTTAATTTTGGGCTGCTTGCTTCCACTGATTTGGTTTTTTTTAGGTTTTCATCTGAAAATGCCTTTGATAACCCACTTTGAGCCCATTCAAGTGACCCTTCAAACAGATCTGGTTATTCTTTTCCCGTGATGATAAAGGGTGCCCTGTTTCCATTTTAATTTTTGAACTTTGAATCATAGTTTTCGTGGATAATTGCTCAAACCTGTGTTGATATATGTAATGCAGGTGAGGGATATCCCGTGTGGTACAAAAGGTGGTGTTATGATCAACTTTGAGAAAATAGAGGCAAGCCTTTGTGATTTTGTGCTCTCTAACAATACAGTTGGTTTTTGTTGCAAGGGTTCATTTGTTATATGTAAATGTTTTATTTGAATGCACCTGCAGGTTGTTAACCGCCTTCGTAAAGGCTTTGTGTATGAAACACTGCGTGATTATGGTGTACAGTATGATAACACATGGATATATGACAAGATTCATCATGAGATCAATCAGTTCTGCAGTGCTCATTCCCTTCAGCAAGTTTATATCGATATGTTTGACCAGGTAAGAAACTAAGAACGCACTATCACATTTAGAGCCCCCACAGATAGATGACATCATGTTAATTTATTGAAGGTCCCACAATGATCTATTTCCATGTTCAAAATCCTGTGGGAGGATTGTGAGTCTCACTGTAACCTGATCGCAAAGTGTTATATGCTTATGTTGTTGTGGTTTCCATAACAAATGAGCATTTTATAGCTCTTACCTGAATGTAATCTTGAGATTTGAAAATTATTTCTTGGTCCATCATCTCCTTTTCTATCCTCTGTTTGCTTAATGATACAGATTACACGCGTGAAAATTGTAAACTATGGGACTCATCATTAAATGCACTAGTAATTTAAATACTATTTAAGGTACCCTCAGCTTATCCATTGGGAGTTTTTTTTTCTTAGATATATTTTATTTTTTCAGATTGATGAAAAAATGAAAGATGATCTTCAGTCTGATTGTACACGGTATGCTCCAGGTATTGAAATTATCAGTGTCCGTGTCACAAAACCTACCATTCCCGAAAGTATAAGACGGAATTTTGAACAGATGGAAGAGGAACGCACCAAGGTAATATCATCTCTTTCCATTCATTCCTTTTTCACTGGAAGAGGAACGCACCAAGGTAATATCATCTCTTTCCATTCATTCCTTTTTCACTGAACAATGATAGGTTAAGGTAGGGATGTAAGAAAAACCGAAAAAACTGATCAAACCGGTTGAACCAAACCAAAACAGCTATATTTGGTTGGTTTTTTTAATATGAATCGGTCTGTGCGGTCTTTAAAATTATTTTTTTTTTGGTTTTCGGTTCGGTACCGGCTTAGGCACCTTGTGTACAAACTGATGACAGTTTCGCATATTAAACATAATATATATTAAATATATAATGAAGTTGGTTGTGTACAAAGTTTAGTTGATTCGCTTAATTGTTTATTTTTTCTTAAACATTCTAGGTTTGACAATAGATATTGGCAATATGATAAGTTGTTAGTTTGCTACTCATATGTGCTTAAGTCAAGTTTTGCTACTACTATGCTTATATAGTTATATCAGATGTTTATGTTATTTTCAATTTTTTATTTTAACTCTACTTAATAAATTTGTGATTTAGTCACTATCACATTTAGAGCCCCCACAGATAGATGACATCATGTTAATTTATTGAAGGTCCCACAATGATCTATTTCCATGTTCAAAATCCTGTGGGAGGATTGTGAGTCTCACTGTAACCTGATCGCAAAGTGTTATATGCTTATGTTGTTGTGGTTTCCATAACAAATGAGCATTTTATAGTTCTTACCTGAATGTAATCTTGAGATTTGAAAATTATTTCTTGGTCCATCATCTCCTTTTCTATCCTCTGTTTGCTTAATGATACAGATTACACGCGTGAAAATTGTAAACTATGGGACTCATCATTAAATGCACTAGTAATTTAAATATTATTTAAGGTACCCTCAGCTTATCCATTGGGAGTTTTTTTTTCTTAGATATATTTTATTTTTTCAGATTGATGAAAAAATGAAAGATGATCTTCAGTCTGATTGTACACGGTATGCTCCAGGTATTGAAATTATCAGTGTCCGTGTCACAAAACCTACCATTCCCGAAAGTATAAGACGGAATTTTGAACAGATGGAAGAGGAACGCACCAAGGTAATATCATCTCTTTCCATTCATTCCTTTTTCACTGAACAATGATAGGTTAAGGTAGGGATGTAAGAAAAATCGAAAAAACTGATCAAACCGGTTGAACAGAACCAAACCAGCTATATTTGGTTGGTTTTTTTAATATGAATCGGTTTGTGCGGTTTTTAAAATTAATTTTTTTTTGGTTTTCAGTTCGGTACCGGCTTAGGCACCTTGTGTACCGAATTAAACCGAAACTGATGACAGTTTCGCATATTAAACATAATATATATTAAATATATAATGAAGTTGGTTGTGTACAAAGTTTAGTTGATTCACTTAATTGTTTATTTTTTCTTAAACATTCTAGGTTTGACAATAGATATTGGCAATATGATAAGTTGTTAGTTTGCTACTCATATGTGCTTGAGTCAAGTTTTGCTACTACTATGCTTATATAGTTATATCAGATGTTTATGTTATTTTCAATTTTTTTTTTAACTCTACTTAATAAATTTGTGATTTAGTCTTATGGGATGATGGATTTAAACTTTGGTTTTGCTTTGGTGTCAAAATTTGGGTTTTTAGATTATATTTTGTTTCTAATTCTACTTTAGTAAAAGCTTAAACACTTTGTATTTATTAATTCTTTTGTTTGTATTTTTGTGAATGGCTGGATTGGATATTGAAGTAATGCACAAATGGTTAATTCAATATTTTCATATAAATTATTTATTATGCTACAAATTTAAGAAGTCACTCAAATTTAAAAGGTCGTAAACCGAAAATCATACCGAGCCAAACCATTTGAATTGGTGCGGTTAAGTGAAAAATTTGGTCGGTATCGGTTCTTAATATAATAGAACCGACTAGAAATGGCAACGGGGCGGGGCCGGGGATCACACTTCCCGTCCCCGATCCCCGATAGTATATAATTCCCCGGTCCCCGGCCCCCGACGGGGAACCTGTCACCGCCCCCATCCCCGCCCCCTAACAGGGGTCAGGTTTTCCCGACCCCGAAAATTCTCCGCCCAAATCTGTTTCAACATCATCAATTTTTAACATCAACAAAATCATCAAGAACATTATAAAAAAAAATCATCAATAAGAAGTGGAGATAAAATTATCAACAACAAAATCATTATCAACACTATGCATCAACTACCAAAAAAAAAAAGAAAAGACAAATAGAGACAGATCTGAGTGTGCATCATCAATCAACATAGATCTGAGTCGGCGATGGTGACTGCGACGAAGGTGGACGACGGAGGCTGCGATCGGCGATGGTGACTGTGACGAAGGTGGACCACAGTGGTTGCGATCGGCGATGGTGATTGCGACGAAGGTAGACGACGATGGCTGCGATGGACGACGGTGGCTACGACAAATGACGGTGGCTACGGCGGTGTAAGGCGACAAAGGCGGTGGCGCTGAGGGGGAGAGGTACGAGAGTGAGAGTGAGAGAGAGATGAGAGGCGGTGAGGATGAGAACGAGAGAGAGAATAGAGGGAAGAGAGAGACTGTGCAGATATGAAATGAAAGAGAGAGAGAGAGAGACAGAAACAATATATAAAAAGTATATTATATATATATATATATATTAAGTCGGAGACAAATGGAGTGGAGTCGGGGATTGGGCATTTATCACCGTCCTCGGCCCGAAATTGATCGGGGATTAATTTTTAAATACCATCCCCGCCCCGTCGAGGGTATTTTTCGGGGAAAAACCGTTCAAATCGGGATCGGGGGATCAGGTCCCCGTCGGGTCGGTTTCAAATTGCCATCCCTAGAACCAACATTATTGGTTTGGTATAAAATTTCACCTAAACACCGACCATCCCAAACCGATTACATCCCCAGGTTAAGGAAAAGATAAAATGCTACTCCGAACTTTAGAAGAAAATGTGTGACTGATTGGGTCGTGTATGAGGTTAGTAAGAATTGAAGACATTTGTTTATGAGAACAATAATATCTAAATCAATGGACAAATTACACGGACCTCCCTTGAGGTTTCTGACAATTAAAGTTTTTAAAGGCGGATGCATAACGTGAGGCGTTTTACCCCTTATGAAGCGATGCGTAAGTCTTGAGGTGTTGAGGTGTAAGCATTTCAAATTCTGAATTTTTATATTTAGTAAATAATTTAAATATTTTAAAACAATAATAAATAAATCAAAATTATAAAGGTGTAAATATTTTTTTACTCAAGGTTCATTGCAGAGAAGGAAGCTTTGCTTTTATTAAAAGAAAAAAGATTGGGAGCTCTAAATTAAGAGCTGTAATAGCTCTAACTGGTGTGTAGGTCTTATGTGATGTGATCATTTGGCCTTGGTTTTTATTTATTTTTATTTTTTATTTTCCACGTCATTAGTGCTCTTTTAAAACTCCCAAATTAGAGGGATTTATCATTTCTGTTATTAAAATTGAAATTGGTATTCTTAACTTTAGTGATAGAGTTTCTCATTGAGCATAACTTTGTGACTGTTTGGGAAGTTCCTATTTTAGTTTTTGATTATTTTAATAGGCTAAAATTTGTATGTTTGGGAAGATGATTGGATTTTTTTTGTAATTGAATGCGATTTTGTAAGAGAAAAAGTGAAATGATTATGGGTTTGATGTGACATTTTGTCTTATTAGATATTTTAGTCTATTTTTTTTGTTTGTTTGTTTGTTTGTTTGTTTTTTTTTTTTTTTTGTAGATTTTAGCCTAAATTAGGCTAAAATTTCACTTCCCAAAAACCCCCTTTGTTTTTTTTTCTTGATTGGTCATTTACTTTATTTTTCATATAGAATATAGTTGCACAAAGGGTCCCTTTTATTTTTTACTTTTTTATGCTTAAATCATCTACTAGACTAAGTTTAACAAGAACCTAAGACAAACTCTTTATATACGCATTCCTCACATGCTTATGCATAAAAGGCATACAAAACGCACCTAAGGCGCATGTTTCTGACTCTGTGTGCAAGCCTTTAGGGAGTAAAGCCTCAAAATCAAAGCCCTGAGACGTTTTGCCTTAGCCTTGCCTTGAGGCAAGCATCAAGGCAAGCCTCACTAAAACCTTTTAAAACTTTGTTGAAAATTATGGGGACCTCCTTTGAGATCTTTGAAATCACACTATCATCTTGATGTAGGACAAGGTGAACTAAGAAACAAGAGCACTGAAGAAAAATGAAACATAAGAATAAAATAAACCCTACAACTCAAAATACTTAAAAATTAAACTCTCAATTTTTATTCATTCGAAGCTGAGGAAACCTCCTACATAATGACTTATAAATAGGCAAACCAAAAACCCTAAACTAAAAGTTTCCAAATTAAAAACTTCCTAACCAAACTATTTAAATACTAAATAAAATAAAAACTTCCTAATTTAAATACTAATTAAAATAATAAAATCCTTTTAATACCAAATAAGAAAATACAAGAAAATCCTCATCCAATTCCTTTTCTGTCCCTGTCACATTTCTTTTTTGTGAAAATATACACATTCCTCCCCTCTGTTAAGTCACTATTAGAGCTATTGACGGAATTTTATGATATTATCAAATTTGTAAATACTTAAAGCTATGTTACATGGACTCGTGTATGAATATCGGGTACAGGTGTGTGCCCACTTAAATCTTAATATATTGGGATATGATCCAAAATAGGATATGGGTACGGAGACTTGTTGTGGACTCGCATATACATTACGTAATATATAATATTCTTAGATAAGATATTGTAAAATGTACTTGAAATTGAATGAGATTTATAAAAAATGTGGAACTTTTATCTCTCATTTGTGTTAGAGGTTATAAATGTTTCTTTTCTAGTAAATGTGAGTTTCTTATTCTTCAATTTGTAATTCTTTCTTTATAAATACAAAACTTTAGTACTCCCCATGAAATTAATTTGTACTACTTGGATGTACATTTTTGAAATTTTTTCTCTATCCCAAAATAATGATTGGATTCTCTGACTATGTGGACTAGTTGTTATTTTTTTGTGTTATGGTGCTGGATTTTTTTGTGCATTGTAAGTTCGTTTGCATTAATTTATATTGGCGAGGAATGTCTTTGTGTAGGTTTTGATTGCAATAGAGAGACAGAGAGTAGTTGAGAAAGAGGCTGAGACAAAAAAGAAGATAGCTATAAGTGAAGCTGAGAAGAATGCACAAGTTAGCTTGATCCAGATGGAACAGAAATTGATGGAGAAAGAGAGCGCGAGGAGGCAAGAGGAAATTTCAAATGAAATGTACAAAGCTCGTGAGAAGAGCTTGGCTGATGCTGATTTCTATAGGTGCATATTAATCTACCCTATCTTTTATACACATAATTATATATTCTTTTTCTCTAAAGTGGAGTTCTTGTAATTCATTAATGAGGGTAACTAGGGCTGTAAAAAAAAACGGATAAAACTAAACCAACCGTCTGAAACCAGCTGAAATTTGGGTTTTCAACATATCGTCTGTTTTGGTTTTGAAAAAATTTAAAACTGATATGAACCAAACCGGCTGAAATATTATATTTTAATAATTTTTATATTCTATTTTTTTTTTAAATATTAGAAGATAAATAACCAATTGTACACATTTTACAATAAAAGTTAGGAAGGGAGATATTTATAGAGCTTCTCCATCCATTTCTTTTCATTTATTCCCAATGTAGGATTCCATAGATTTTTATAAAGTTCTTAAAGTTTGCTTGAATCCGTCATTTACACTAAACCAACAAACTGATAAAACCAAACCATAGTATGTCATCGGTTTTGGTTCCTCAATTAACAAACCAAAGGGTTGGGTTGGGTTCAGTTTAGTGCTAAATTTTCCTTCAACCTTGACTGAAATCGAACCACTTAAACCCCCAAGGCCCCAAGGATAACTTAAGAAGTTGCATGGTATACATTTTCAGAGCATTGAAAGAAGCAGAGGCAAACATGTTGAAGCTTACTCCCCAATATTTGGAGCTCAAATTCATTGAAGCAATTTCTAACAACACAAAAATTTTCTTTGGAAACAAGGTCAGATGCTTTACTCTCTCTCTCTCTCTCTCTCTCTCTCTGTCTCTGCATGCTGTGGTGCTTATAAGTCCTGGTTTTGTTGCAGGTACCCAATATGATTTTTGATCAGAAGCTGCTTGGAAATTTTGTTCAAGATATAGCCAGAAAGACCAACATGGAAGCTTAAATCAGATCATTTCATTCATGTGATGCAATGAAACAGTTGTTTTTTTATCTTGATTCACAATGTTTTGTGGGTGGCTACCCTTTTTTGTTGGTCATGATAACTTAAGTCTGGTAAAAAGTGAGATTCTATTTTCAAATATAAAGGAAAATAAGAAAAATATTTATATATATATATATAGTTTATGTTTTGACTACATGTGTCATACTTTTATTGTTTTCTTCCTATTTAACCAAAATATTATAAACAAAGTATCTGCATTCTGTGGTAAGCTTGAATTGGGGATTGGTTCCGTGGTACACCTGTTTTGTTGAGCTGCATTTTTATGCAAGCCTTGTAGGAAGCTAGAGATTTGCCATGGTTTGTACTTGTTTACGAACTAAATGATCAATTGCATGCTCTATGTGCTCTGGTGCTTGAATTGGTTAGTTCAACCTTTGTTATATTGACCCTGTTTGGTGAAGTTTACTAGGGATGTTTGTAACCCTTTTTTTGTTTTTAGGTTTTTTTTCTTTTTTTAGTTGTAACCCTATGTCTAAGTGTTTGGTACCAATTTTACTTAAATATTTACAGCTTATGAGACTAATACAAATAAGCTAACTAATGGATATTTACTAGTATATCTTATTGATTGTACTTATTTACTCGTAAGTCATGGTTAATTTTTTTTCTTCTATTGTATGTGATTCTTATTTTGATAATGAGAGCATTTTGAGATTTTTTGGATATGTTTTATGTTTGTGGAATGTTCATTGTGACAGATGGTTGGGATATTTTGATTTTTAGTTGATAGTTTTGATTAATTTTTATTTTATATGTTAGTTTGTATTGAAATATGATGTGAAAGTATAAGTAGTTGAATTGTATTTTTAAAAAATATTTTTATAGTGATAAATTTATCACTAAAAATTAAAGTAAGACTTTTTAATAAATAAATGATCCATAGGACCGGTGTGGAGCTGTCCCAATGCTTATTTTGGCAATTAGGAAAAAGCACAGTTTATTGGTTTATTTGGTTACATTATCTCTCTAATTTTTTTTATACCTTTTTAAAAAAAAGTAAAAAAATTAACCCTTTCTTTTTTTTTTCTTTTTTTTTTTTTTTTTCAACTTTTCAAAATAGACTTGATGTTTGGGTTGGGTCAAGTTTGGACTGACACAAATTTTGTAATTAGCTGGTGCAAGCCCAACCGACTAATGTCCACCTAGAGATGTATTAGCCATTTTTTTGAAAAGTATTATTGTATTTGTTGGCAATAAATTTAACTTTTTGGTGAATTTTTAATTTTTTAAGAAAATGTGTAGAAAATAAAAATAAAAAAATTAATTTTTTAAGATTAATTTTTTAGCTAAAATTATAACTTCCCAAAATTAACAAGAGAGACAAAAACTACTCATAACAAACTACAACTATTAAGGCCAAGTTTGAGAAGACTAAATAAGTGCACTTTTTGACTTTTTATGAAATATGGGTTCGATTTGGATTGGGTTTGAAGTGATGTGTTAGAGAGGTGATATGACTTAAATGAGATGATGTGACTTAAATAGGATAGCGACTTTTTGACATTTTGAATTTTTTGAAAGATGTCAAACTTGGCCTAAGTCGATTGGGATTGTCAAATTATATTTTCTGTCCAAACTTCTGCCCCACTTTTTATTCTTTTCATTAAAATTTAAATTAGAAAAAATATTTTTAAAAGTTCAATAATTATTACAAAATAAATAAATTGTATTAAATTTTAATAATGACAACGTCATGGTATTAAAAATATAAAACTTCACAAGCTTGACTTGTGAGTGAAAAACAATGGAAGAAAAATATTCACATGAATGGGTCCTGTGTGTGATGGGGACTCACAAACCATGAGATTATTTTAAATGTTATTTTTTATTTAATTTAATTTTGGCGTGAATTTCTTCCTTCTTAAATTGTATTCATTTTTAAAATTTTATGTTTTCTTATCTTAATATGTTTATTATTATTAAATTATAAATAATTTAGTTAAGTAATTAAAAGTACATTAAAACATGAAACAAATAAATTTAAAACATAGCATGCTTTAGTCATTTTTGTTTAGTTTTATAGGGGATGAGATTAGATTAATAATGTTGTAGGTTCTATGTAAATTCTGTTTAGCTGGTAAAATGAAATTACTCTAATTCATAGAACTATATATCCCGGTGAGAGGAGCTTCTATTTACACACATCATTTCCACTCTTTGCACATGCTTCTCACTACACACACCTAAAAAATTAATCCCAAATTATTTTGCTCACTGCACACACCTTTTATTCCACATCTACCCTCATACACACATACATACATCCAAACCCCCAAACCCATCTCTCCAAACGGTGCAAAAACACACTCATTCCATTGTCAGCCCCGTCTCTTACACACGTCCATCTCTCACAGTCTACCTTTCGCCCTGAAAAGCTGCATCCATCCATTGAAGACATCTCATTGAAGCATTGAAGACATCTCACTGAACCATTGAAGGAATTCTTCACATTTGGAGAACTTAGGTTAGTTTACTTATTTCAATCCTCATTCCTATTTCATTTGTAATGGAGGGCTTGTTTTGACCATTTTTAAAATGAACGAACACATAGCCCACCGAAATAAGCAATCTGTTCCTCATTCGGAATTAGTTTTCCGAAAATAAACAGGAAAAGCTGCATCCATCCATTGAAGACATCTCATTGAAGTATTGAAGACATCTCACTGAACCATTGAAGGAATTCTTCACATTTGGAGAACTTAGGTTAGTTTGCTTATTTCAATCCTCATTCCTATTTCATTTGTAATGGAGGGCTTGTTTTGACCATTTTTAAAATGAACGAACACATAGCCCACCGAAATAAGCAATCTGTTCCTCATTCGGAATTAGTTTTCCGAAAATAAACAGGAAAAGCTGCATCCATCCATTGAAGACATCTCATTGAAGTATTGAAGACATCTCACTGAACCATTGAAGGAATTCTTCACATTTGGAGAACTTAGGTTAGTTTGCTTATTTCAATCCTCATTCCTATTTCATTTGTAATGGAGGGCTTGTTTTGACCATTTTTAAAATGAACGAACACATAGCCCACCGAAATAAGCAATCTGTTCCTCATTCGGAATTAGTTTTCCGAAAATAAACAGGAAAAGCTGCATCCATCCATTGAAGACATCTCATTGAAGTATTGAAGACATCTCACTGAACCATTGAAGGAATTCTTCACATTTGGAGAACTTAGGTTAGTTTGCTTATTTCAATCCTCATTCCTATTTCATTTGTAATGGAGGGCTTGTTTTGACCATTTTTAAAATGAACGAACACATAGCCCACCGAAATAAGCAATCTGTTCCTCATTCGGAATTAGTTTTCCGAAAATAAACAGGAAAAGCTGCATCCATCCATTGAAGACATCTCATTGAAGTATTGAAGACATCTCACTGAACCATTGAAGGAATTCTTCACATTTGGAGAACTTAGGTTAGTTTGCTTATTTCAATCCTCATTCCTATTTCATTTGTAATGGAGGGCTTGTTTTGACCATTTTTAAAATGAACGAACACATAGCCCACCGAAATAAGCAATCTGTTCCTCATTCGGAATTAGTTTTCCGAAAATAAACAGGAAAAGCTGCATCCATCCATTGAAGACATCTCATTGAAGTATTGAAGACATCTCACTGAACCATTGAAGGAATTCTTCACATTTGGAGAACTTAGGTTAGTTTGCTTATTTCAATCCTCATTCCTATTTCATTTGTAATGGAGGGCTTGTTTTGACCATTTTTAAAATGAACGAACACATAGCCCACCGAAATAAGCAATCTGTTCCTCATTCGGAATTAGTTTTCCGAAAATAAACAGGAAAAGCTGCATCCATCCATTGAAGACATCTCATTGAAGTATTGAAGACATCTCACTGAACCATTGAAGGAATTCTTCACATTTGGAGAACTTAGGTTAGTTTGCTTATTTCAATCCTCATTCCTATTTCATTTGTAATGGAGGGCTTGTTTTGACCATTTTTAAAATGAACGAACACATAGCCCACCGAAATAAGCAATCTGTTCCTCATTCGGAATTAGTTTTCCGAAAATAAACAGGAAAAGCTGCATCCATCCATTGAAGACATCTCATTGAAGTATTACACATTATCTGACAAGCATATGAGCTGTATCAGTGGAGTCCATCCTCTATCTCCTCCCAAACAACATCCGGTTTAGAGGTCCATTCCCTATCTTCCCCTAAACCGTGGAGTACGTCCCCTATCTCCTCCCATACACACAACGTATATACACAATGGTCATATACACAATCAATCAATACATAACGTTAATGTATTCTATCAACCGTCATACTCTATGACATATCCAATTGATTAGTTTTAGTTTGCCTAATCATCATGCATTGTCTACAACAATCAAAACTACCCTCCACCGGTAGCCCAAGCAATTATTTCTAAACAGAAAATAAAAGCTCCAACAGATAAAATATCAATATTTTCAAAAGTGAGCGATTAATAAATCCAACCCCACTATTCTACTATATAATGAGCCAATTTCATTATTTCCAACTCAATTCCATTTAATCACAATTTTTCCAAATTAATTATACCAATTAATTTATACAAACAATTAAGGTTTTCTACCCCATTTCCCAATATTGACCCAATGGTCTATATATCAACAACCAACAATGAAATCATTATTTTTAAACCCACAATACACATTTTAGAATCAAAATAACAAAATCCTCTTTTAACATTTTGAAACCCTAAGTCCCAAAATTGCCCAACTTCAACACTTTATCAAAACAACCAAAAATCGATGTCAAAGACCATAAGAGTGAGTAGGAATCCCTACCTTAAACAATGACACCCAAAGAAGAAGATGAAGAAAACGAAAATGCTCCAAATCTTGAAATTCTTGGATCAAAAGATAGCCCTCGACGATCAACAACCTTTTTGTAAAGGCCAAAGGTGAGGAGACAACTCCTACTAGATCAATACCTAGAGAGAAGGCAAGGTTCTAGAGAGAGAGGCTCTCAAAAACGTTTTGGAAAAGTAAGAGAGAGAGAGAAAGTGTAGAAAGTGATTCAAAAATGCCCAGCTGCCCTCTGTTATACGACATTCCCGCTCGAGCGAAAAACACAACGCTCGAGCGTCAAGAATAAAAAAAACTGTGTCCGCTTAAGCACAAGAAGGCCCGCTCGAGCGCCAAGACACAAGGATAAAGTACATCCGCTCGAGC